GATCTGTAAAATTTTGTCTAGCCCATTCTGTTCGTGATAACACGTAACACTTAGGAAACTTAAATACAATTGAAGTTAATCAAATTTGCAATGTAGTCACATGTAACTAGACTTACTTTGACTTTACTAGTTTTAACCAATTCAATACCATCCTTGAGCCATTTTATCTCAGGGAAAGGTTTTCCATACGGAACACACTCCATTACCACAGTTTCTCCTATCTTTACGCGTTTCATCGTCAACGGAGTTGAGAAGCCAGGCGCCTTACCCTCCTTTACCAAAAATTCCCAACTTCGTTGCGGTTTCTTTTCTTCCACTAAACTCAACGCTTTTTGAAAGCACATCTTTTTAGAAGTTTATGAATTTGGTAAATGCATACAGCCATACAGAGAATCAGACTAACTTACATTGAACCATTACTTCACAAACTGTCCTTGCATTGCCATAGATATTTTCAGCCATACACCTGTAACTTCCTGCATCAAAAGATGCGGCTTTTTTGACAGTCAGTTGGCAGAAATCTTCGCTTGTTTCTTCCTGTAAAGAAGCATGGAAATTGCGTTTGCCTGCAAATACGTTTTTCACGAAACTATCAGAAGAGATGAAGGCATACGATTATGCACTGTCCATACTGGTACACCCTCTCGCCATCTTTGAACCACTTGATAGTTGGACGCGGTTCTCCAGAGAACTTGCATCGTAATTGGAACTCAGATTTTTCAGCAACTTTCACATTCTCAAGCGGAACAATAACTTTTGGTGCTCTGTTGGCATCGAAATGTTCCCTTAATTAAGTTTGGTTAGCATTTATGAACACCTTTATTGCAAGTGTTTTTACCAGCAAGGCCCAAAATGTAGCTATAGATTACTGTATTGCTTACTCGTCTGTTGGCCTTTGATCCACTCCAGTCGTAGAACGTTTTACAGTTGCTAATGCCTTATCATGTGTTGAACCGGCAGGATTAGTTGCTATTACACGGTAAATACCTGAAAGTTCCCATTTATAAATACGCATGTTTTTTTTTATTACCCTCGGTTACAACAAAAAGCAAATGAAAAATCGCTCCATAATCTTAAATCATTCAGTTCAAAGACTCTGTGTACCTTCATCTTCCATGCAACATGGCGAAATCAACAGCCAAGCAGCACCTTCTTCATTGATACCCATGCTTATCCTGTCCGATGGTGTTATACGTTCACCATTTCGGTACCACACTAATTCAGGCATTGGAGTACCATCAACTTTACACTCGAATTTCAATGGAGTTCCTAAATATTATTTCAGGTGTCATATATATTAGATAAAAAATACAAATTACAAACAAACCTTCAGTGGCTCTTGCGTCAGCAAGCGATATGGTAATGTGTGGCGGCGACGCTGCTGATGGCGGAAGTCGTTCTATAGTAGTAGTATCTGTAATAGAATTTTCAATTGATATACAGAAACAATTAAATCCACCATAATTTACTACATTAATAAATACTGTATCGCACCTTCGATTCTCACAAAAGCTTTAGTAGTAGCTGAGCCAAAGCTGTTTGATGCAACACAACGATATGTGCCTTCATCACGCACAGTCGAGCTACTAATCTGAAAATAACAATTAGGTAATAAACTCTTCAATTGTACTTTACCGAACGTCTTGATTGAATATTTGAAGGAAACAAATACTTACCTTAAGTCTGTAAATTCCAGTAGACGAGTCGATTTCCCAGTCATATCGGGCATCATCAGATATTGGAACGCCGTCTTTTGACCTGATAGAGTGAAAATTGGGACATAATTTATTTATGCAAATTAGATGGAAAACCTAACTTTAGAAGTAGAATCAGAAGAAAGTCACTTTATCAAACATTATAAAGGCGAAGCTTTTATGAATACATTAAGAAGACAGCTAATATATCATTTGGAGAATATTTGCAATGAAAGTACCATTTGATTGCTGGTGTTGGAATGCCAGAAACCTTACACATCAAATCAATGCTCGAGCCAACAATAACAGTGAGATCTTCAAGTGGGACTACAAATTTAGGAGCACTACCTTGTTCAACCTTCTTTTCTTCTGTTTTCCCAAATGACACTGCAAATTGTTTCCTATTATAAAAAATTGATATTACCTTTAGGTAGGCCAGAAAACTGGTTTTAAAGATAAGCCCCGTTTTTAATCACGTCAGTAGTAAAATACAGGCAAAAAATGAGCAAAGAAACAAGATGGCATACATTGAACATGAGCTGTACACTGAGTTTTAGCTTTTCCCAGTTTATTTTCTGCCTCACAACGATAAATGCCTTCATCACTCATCGTGCAGTCAGTGACTGTCAAAGAGCAGGTGCCATCAGGTGATGTCTCAATTTTTGTCCTGTCGGTAGGTCGTAACAAAACACCGTTACGATACCTAAAATGCATTTCACGCAACTTCAGTTTCAAAATAATTTGACTGCTTCAAACCTTGTACAACCAACAATTTAAAATCATAAAAAAAAAACATTTTTCAAATTCTTTAAATAGCGCACTAATAAAGTTTAAACTCAAATATTTTTCGAATACTTACCATTTAATTTCAGGCTTTGGAGAGCCAGTAACTGTGCAGTTAAAGATTAATGATCCACCACGATCAATCCATTTGTCAACCAAACCTTTCGTAAACATTGGTTCTTCTCCTTCTTTCTTAACTTCTTCTTTGACTTTTTTGATAGTCAACAAACAAGCGGTATTTGTAGTACCTAAACTTGTTATTATTGTGATCAATTTTCTTTTAAACGATAAGAAAAAACCATTCAAATTTAAAATGAAAGTTAATTCTTGTTCATAAAATCACCGTGCTCGTTAGTGGCAACACATCTGTAAGCACCATCATCCTTTTCGGTAGCTTCATTAATGGTTAGTGTACAGTTCCCACTTTCATCAACTTCGGTCATCAGCCTTTTATCGGTCTTTAGAGGTAAACCATCTTTAAACCAGGTAATAACAGCCGGAGGTACAGCTGACACCCGGCAAGACAACGTGACCAGTTCGCCAACCTTACCAATTTTGTCCATAAGTGGCGGATTAAAGCGTGGAGGATGAACCTTTTCTGTTATGACTTCTTCAAATTCCTCCACTAAAGTTCCATAATTAGATACTACTTTAACGTTTCAAAATATCAGGTAAACACATTAGACTGAATCACCACCATTTCCAGTTGCCGTCTTTTTAAAAAACAATAAGGTGCAATAAAAATAGCAAGTTCTAAGGTTAATCATGCTAACCTTCAACAGTCATAGTAGCAACAGTCTGGGCGCTTCCCAAATTGTTCCTTGCAACACATTTGTACAAACCCGCATCCGTTATTTGGAAAGTGCTTATATACACACGGCAAGCGCCATCGGAAGTATTTTGCAATGTTAATCGCTCTGTATTTTTCAATTCAATATTTTCCTAAATAAAAACGCTCAATTTTACTTCCATCTAATATGTCGGATATGTATGCCGAGGTGCATTTTAAAAAAGCGCTTATCTGAAAAAATGAAATATTATGCTAGTTTGGAAAAACAAGTAAATAAACATTGCTCACTCTAAACCAGGTTATTTCCGCAGTTGGCTTCGCATCGACATGACACTCTATAGATGTTGATTTCCCTTCCAAAATTTTCCTGTCCCACAAAGGAACATTAAACCTTGGAGGATAATTGAGGTCTTCTCCAACTCGAGCCGGTCTGCCCTCACGTACAGTGAACTTCTCTTCACATTCGGCTCTACCTTTTTGGTTAATGGCAACACATTTGATACGACCTGCATGTTCCTTTTTAACCTCCTTTATAGTCAACGTCCAGTTGCCATCTCCCATATCGTCAATAATTATATTAGCATCAGCAAAAACTTCATTGCCACCGAAATACCTGAATTTTTCTTCAGTAAGCACATCCTTTGATAATTCTTCTTTAAAATTCTTAAAAGAAAAGCGAATAAATAACTTTGAAAGTAAAGCCCAACTAACCAGTGTAATTCTGGTTTCGGAACTCCTTTGACTTTCACTCTAAAATCAGCCCTCGAACCAATTTCCCCCGTAGTCGCTTTCAGTGGTATGACAAACTTTGGTTCTGTTGGTATCATCTCCGCTGATATGACATTGACTTTGCAGTCTGAACGACATTCTCCAGCAGAATTAGTTGCAACAACAGCATAACTGCCACAGTCCTCTGTCTTTGCATCTAATATTCGGAATGTAGCAGTACCATCTAGAGCCAGTCTTTGGGCTATACGTTCTGTAACTTGAATCTTAACACCGTCCTTTTCCCTGAAACATTTCATACCAAACATTCAAAGAAAATATATGTGAAAAGTCGAAAATAATGTTGAAGAATAACTGTAAGGCGCGTTTTAAAAAGCTATTAAATAATCTACAAACCAAGATACTGTAGGTGCAGGTTGACCAGTTATTTGACATTTTAGTGTGATTATGTCGCCTTCATAAACTTCAACATCCGGTAATGGAGACACAAGTGCTGGTGCTGATGTTGGAGGTTCAACTTTTTTAGCTAAATGAAAAAATTTTTGCTATTAATGAAATTAAGAACTGATGCTTAGTTACACTAAAAAAAACCTAAAAAGTAAAAGTGGAAATGAAGACGAAGTATCCTAAAACAGACTATGAGAAACAGTTTCCTGTCAAAATATTCAACTCTTTAAACTATGTTAAAATTAATACTAAGGCAGTTGAAGAGAAAAAATTTGTTCAACTTTAATTGACGAGTTGTAAAGCAAATACCTCTGACGTGAACGACTGCGCCGCTTTGTGCATCACCGTTTTCATTTGAAAGAACTAAACGATATGCTCCTCCATCTGCGGGAACAGCTTTTTCGATTTCCAATGTGTACAGGCCAGAATCAATGTCTTCTTTCTGCAACAAGCAAAAACTGCTGAAATTGGAACAGCGAGTGCTAATTGTCAGCTTGAGAAATAAAGTGCTGAAACATTACAATTAAAAGTTGAGCGCTTGGTGTAATTTGCTGTCCATTTTTATACCACTTCACTTGTTTTGGACGACCTTCAGCTTTAGCTGATAACTTAAGTGGTTCTTCCTCACTGATAGTTTGATCCTTGAGACCATCGATAATGCGGAGAATGTTCTTTTGCTTGACTGTAAGCGCCGCAGAACTATCGCATTCACCTGCCGCATTACTGAGCACAACCTAGCCAAAAAAATTTTTGATTTAAAAAAGTCTACAAAAATTGTTTAGCAAAAGTTGACAAAAAGTTTAAGTTTCAAAACTTACATTAAACGTTGCGGTATCATCGACAACAGCTTCTGGAATTATAAGTTCATATTTCTTTGCATTGATCTTCTTCATTACATTCTTCGATGTCGGTTTAATTTCTTGACCGTTTTTGTACCTGAATTACAAAAACTAATCAAATCCAGAAAAATCTATTAATTTGGTAGCAAAGAAAGAAATTTTTAGAAACCAACCATTTAACAGACCGAACAGGAGTGTTGACTTCGACTACAAATGTGTGATCGTCACCTTCAACAATTTCGTCATCTTTCAAACCTTTCACGATTTCAGGTTTAACATCCACTTCAATATTTCCTGTTGTCCGTACAGCTCCGACCTCATTGGTTGCTTCCGCGGTGTAAGCACCGGCATCTGATTCCGCACATTTTGGAATTGTCAAACGGTAGCTATGAAAATGGAAATTCAGAACATTTAACTTTCACTAATGTTATTTTTTTTACATTTTAAGTTTCCATCTAACTTGAAATTTTGCCTAACTGTATCGCAATTACAATTTAATAACTGCATGAAATAGTGATACCAGTTGTCACTAGTTTTTTCAATGACAGCACTAGCTGATTTGGGTACTGCAACACCGTCCTTAAGCCATTTAACTTCTAACGGACCGCCAGCAAATTTAGCTTCCAATACCAACGGCTCGCCCTTTGGAATAACCTACAAAAACAAACTGAATTTAAGAGTTAGAATTGTTTAACAAAGCAGATTTAGTTGAAGTGTTAGAAAAGGTTAAAAAATGAACTTATTTTTAAGTGTCACCTGGTCTTCCAAACCCTTGAGAATTGACGGTTTTTCAGTAGGTCTCTTTAGTGTTAGTTTGGCAGATGAGTCAGCATTACCAGCACTATTGCTTAATATCACCTGTGAAAATTTTAGGTGTAGTCTTTCTATCTTCTTGCTTCAAAAGATAAAAAAAAGCGACAAAAAATTCATTTTTCAATCTTACAAACCTTGTAATCAGCAACATCGTCCTTTGTTGCTTTGGGAATCGTAAGCTTAAATTTGTTTCCATCTTCTGAAATTGCTGTCTTTTCAGGCTCATGCTTGAGTTCTCTGCCATTTTTGTACCACTTGACTGTATGTGGCTTGCAATTAGTTTGAACAACAAACTCTGCTTTTTCGCCTTCGGCAACTTCAGTGTCTTTTAGTGGCAGCAAGAACAGTATTTGAGGTTCAACCATGACCTTAAAATATTATTGGTAACGATGAAACGAAACTGTAAATTATTTCTCAAAAAATTGAACTTAAAGAAGAACATAAAAATATTGTTTGAAAACAATTTATAACTGCTGACCTCTCCAGTACTTTCTGCAGATCCAGCTTCATTCTCAATTGTAACGCTATATTTTCCTGTGTCATTTTCAGTAGTTTTCTCTATTCTCAATATATAATTATTTTCATCAACCTTCTTTTCAGTAATCCTCTTGTCTGTTTGTGCAGAAAGTGCTTTCCCATTCTTATAAAATTTGACAGTTTTTGGCCTGCCTTTTGTCTGAAAAATTATAATATAGTAGTAAGCAATTACTTTAAATTAAGAATAGCAATTCACTTTAATAATATAGTTGTTTTTACCATAATACTTTAAACCTCTCTATTGCTCGAATTTTACATCACGTAATTCTTCATAAACTAGAAAATGTAACAATTCAAAAATGTAAAAGAAACCTGAATGGCAATTTCTAGGGGAGTTCCAGCAGGAATCACTTGATCCTCAATGCCTTTAACTATTTCAGGTTTCTGAACGATAGTCAAGGCACATGATGAATCCGCCGTACTATCATCATTGGATAAAACAACCTTAATATTAAGACATTGAAAAAAAGATAATTGTTAAATCAGAACACTTTTCGCCAAGGACCAAAAATATCCACCTTATACTCAGCCTCATCTTCTGGAATTGCATTTTCAATTTCAAGTTCATATGTCTCATCGTCAACCTTCTTTGGTTTAACACGATTATCAGGTGTGATTTCTCTGCCGTTTTTATACCTGAAAAAACGCCATTAGAGGAACTTTAAAAACAGATAAAAAAATTAACTTTTCATGCTGGTAACAGATGAACAGACTTACCACTTTACTTGTCTCGGCGCGGGAGTGACCTGAACGCTCAGCACAATTTTGTCATTTTCTTTAGCCGAAGTATCCTCAAGACCTTTTTTGATTATCAATGGCGGTAACTTGACCGTAAGCGCACAAGACGAATCAGCGTTACTGTCTCTGTTTTGAGCCACAAACTGAAAATATTCAGACAAAAATATGATATTACTTTAGTAGATTTAACTTAAATAATAAAATTTTTTTTCTTATCAAGAAAAGTTTAAAAACTTGCTTTGTACTCGGCTGTATCGTCCTTTTCGACCTTTGGTATCTCCAGTTGGTAAGTTGTATCGTCAACTTTAGTAATGTTTATCTTAGCGCTGGCAGAAACCTCCTTACCATTCTTATACCTAAAGCACAATTTATAGTTTAGAAATGCAGTAGCAACTGTTTAGGAAAAAAAATGAATATTCCTAATTGTTAGAATTTCTAGTATTAACAAACCATTTAACAGCCTTTGGCTTGGTGTTTACTTTAGCAGTAAGTATAACTTTCTGGCCTTCTTGAACAGTTTGATCTGTGAGACCTTGTACAATTTCAACGACGGGTTCCTTTACTGTTAATTTACATTTTGATTCCGCAGAACTGTCTTCATTTGCAACAGTGACCTAAAAGTGTTTATTTAGCCAAAAAGATTCAAGAAATATTTCAACTTCCCTAACTAATCTTTAAATTACCTTGTATTCAGCTGAATCGTCAGTTTTTGCAACCGGTATTACCAGTTCGAATTTTTTATCGTCAACCTTGTTCAATTTGATGTCATCTGCATCGGTTATTTCCTTGTTAGCTTTGTACCTTAAAGCTTTTCACAATTAAAAAACACTTCTTCAAAATAATAATTTGAAGTAGTAGAAACACCAATCCAAAAAACTCACCATTTGATTGTCTTCGGCGGTGAAGAAACCTCAATACTAAGAACGATTTTGTTCCCTTCTAAACCATCAGTGTCTTCCAGTGGTTTATCAAACTTCAGTGCTGGCATCTTCACTGTTAAAGCGCAAGATGAATCTGCTGTTCCACGTTCATTTGACACCACAACCTAACAATATAAATCAAACATAAAGCTTGGTAACTTCTTCAATAAAAAAATTTTTGTAAACTGAATGTGACAAAAAGATACCTTATAATCAGCAGTATCATCTTTGGCTGCATTGTCAATGACAAGTTGATAGCAAGTATTATCAATTTTTTCTGGCTTAGCTTTGTCACTTGGTGTAACCTCCTTGCCGTTTTTATACCTAAAAATTGCAAAAAAAATTTAAGTTTTTTAGCTTAGTGTAAGCAGTAAAAAACTATAGATAGAAGTCCTTGACTTCTTTAATACATATGCCTTACTTTTGCGTTATGAAAATATTCTGTATGTCAATTCATTAACAATAATGTTACCATTTTATTTCTTTAGCAGGAGCGTTTGTCTTGATTTCAAGCACTGCCTTGTCCCCAACCGTTACTTGAGCATTCTCCAATTTCTTTGTAAACGCAATAGGCTCGACCTTGACGACCACAGCACATGACGATATAGCACTTGTGTTTTCTCCCTCTGCGATAACCTATAAAAGTTTAGTACTGAGAAGTCCTGTTTCCCCTATTCAATTTTTAAAAACTTTATAAGCACTGCTTTGTTTCCAAGAATACAATGCTTAAACAGCAAAGTTCAAACTATTTCAGAATAACTCTAACTTTAAAATCAGCTGTATCATCACTGGTTGCATGAGGAATAACTAAGCGACAAACTACATTGGAAACTACTTCCATTTGGACAACTTCTGAAGGTACCAATTCTTCTCCGTTCTTGTACCTGGAATATTCCGGTATGTATTTACACAGCACCAACAAAAACTAAAAACTTTTTTCATCCTTACAACTTTTCTTCAATAGTGTAGAAAAAATTACCATGTAACTTCTTTAGGTTTGGACGACGTCTTGATTTCCAGAACAATTTTTTCATCCTCTTTAACGTTAGTATCTTCAAGCGTTTTTACAATTTCGAAAAGTGGTGTGACAGTTACCTTAGTAGATGCTTCCGCTTCCGCTTCTTTATTAGACAAAACAATCTGAAAGAAGAAATTTGTCAGAAAATTGCTCGATCATTTTACGAACTTCCAGGTTGACAACTAAGTTCTAAACACTTGAAAATTGTGAGTGGGAGTCACCTTGTAATCAGCTTGGTCACTTAGCGAGGCTTTTCGTTTTGTAAGCTTATACTTGTTATCACCAACTTTCTCAACTGTGCCATCTTTGACTTCTTTTCCATTCTTATACCTAAAACTGGTTTTATTCAAGACCAGGTCACCAATAGTTTCATTTTAGCCTGACAACAAGCTTACGCGAAGAACTAAGCTAAGCTTTTGGTTAACGAACACTTGGCACTATAACTTTACCATTTGACAGTTTTCACTGTTCCTTTGGTTTCAAACTCAAGCACAATGTCGTCATGAGCACTCACAGTAACTGGTGAAGGAGCACGTACAAACTCCGGTGCAGCTAAATTAAAATTCATCAGTTACTGATAGATTAAAATAGTGTAAAATTTAAGATAAAAGTTCAAAACAAATTCTAACCGAGTTTTACAGTAAGTTTTGCTGAAGACTCAGTTGAGCCAGCTTCATTGGTGACACGCACTGTGTACTCGCCGATATCACTTTCAGAAGAGTCAATTAATTTCATTTTATATTTTCCGCTTCCCAAGCTTTCCGCTTTAGCCTTACTGCTGTCAATAGGTTTACCGTCCTTTAACCACTCTACTTTTTCAACATCGCCTTGTACCTCTACCTAAAATTCTCATTCATAGAAAGTGACAAAAAAAATACCATAGAAGCTTTTACAAGATCTTAACAAACTTAAACTAAAATTATTGACCTCCATTTCAGCTGTACTGCCTTCAACGACAGAGGTGTCAGTAAGCGACTTTTTGAATTTCACTTGTTCTAATACTTGAACTTCACTTGACGATTCTAAGCTTTCAGTTTCTGTAGAGAAGACAACACGATAACTTCCGGCATCAGAAGTTTCAACTTCATCAATTTCCAAAGAGTATTCTTGATCGTTCACTTTCTTGAGTTTCATCCTTCTTTAAAAAACAGTTGTTTATTGCTTTTCTTGAACATAATATGTCCTCAGCTACTGTTCTGTCAAATCGTCATAAATCCGCTTGGTTAAGCACTTTGTCTATTAAGCGCAACCAGCAAAAACTTCCAAAAATGTAGTATTATTTCAAAAACGAATTGATTTTAGACTGCTTGAAAGGATGCAGCGTAAAAAACACATTTCCTAAAAAAAGAAAGATACAAAAACTTACTTATTTGAGACAACTTCATCTTTGCCTCTAAACCATTTGACAATTTTCGGCTGCCCTTCAACCTCAATATTCAATAAGAGACGCTGTTTTTCACCGACTTTAACGTCTTTCAAGCCCTTTATTATTTTCAGCCTTTCAATAGCTGCAAGAAGCTGTTTTATTTTACCTGCACCTATTTATTAGATAGCACTGATCAGAAAATGCAGCATTTACCAGCAACGTTCAATGGCGCTTTAGAACTCATTGATCCAGAACTGTTAGTTGCCTCACAGCGATAGTTGCCTTGATCCTCTACTTCGACTGCATCAATTATCAATCGATTTGTGCCATCTGGTAGACTTTCAATTTTCATACCCTTACGCGGTATTAGTTCTTGTCCATCCTTGTACCATTTAACTTCTGGCAGCGGTTGTCCAGTAACTCTATATTTTTTTTATTTTGCAGAGGAAAACTTTCTTACCCTTTTCTGATCAAAAAAATTAAAATTATTGCCAGTTAAAGTTTCACTGCAAAAAGCTGTTAAAATTTTTTTCTAAAATCAATGTTAAAAATAGAGTCTTATGTCTAACCGGCACTCAAAAGTAACAGCTTCTCCCTCAGTGGCTTGTACAGCTCGTAACTCGCTTAGGAAATCGGGCGCTATTTCAGTTTCTAAAATTTTTTCCAATTACTAGTTAAAACTTTTCAAAACAACTTAATATTCCTTCAATTGAGTATGTATAACTGTGTTAAAACGAAAAGGCTAATAGACTTTGTAAAACAAAAATATTTTGAAGTAACTTGCCTTGCACAACGATAGTAACATCGCTGAAAACTTCTCCATATTCATTTGTTGCAAAGCAACGGTATTCATCACCTTCTGACTGTTGGATGTCTCGAATAACTAATCGTTGAGTCCCATCATCATAGCTTTCAATAATAATCTTTTTATTATCAGCAAGCAATTTTTGATCACCACGATACCACTCTACTGTTGGTTTCGGCTCGCCAGTTAACTTTCCTTCCAAAACAGCTGTGTCTCCTTCCATAACCTTCAAAATACATCTCAAATGAGCTCGAATCTGCTGTTAAACTGCTCCTTTAAATCAAAAAGTTTGCACTGTTTTTACCGTTATAGGTTTCACAGGTTCTAAGAAATCTGGAGCTTCCCCTTCACCAGTCTTTTGGGCGAAATCAATTGGGCCTTCCGTCCAAGCGGATCCGTATTCGTTTACTGCCTCACATCTATATTCACCGCAGTCTTCGTCAGTGACGCCGTCAATCTTCAGTACATTGGTTCCATCGTCGTAAGACTCGATCGTTATCTTATTGCTCTTTTCAACCTTGAAAAATTGAATTTTTATAAATTTAAAATACCCCAAAAAATTATAATTTAGATGAATTATCGGCTAGTTTGAATGACGGCTACGTAACGTAAACGAAAAATGAAGAGGCTTTTCATCACAGACTGTCATTGATGAAAAAAAGAAAGCGAAATTTTTACAATTCATTAGGGTGAAAAAGAAACAAGAAACACGATGGAGTATCATTATACTTACTTCTTTTCCATTTTTCTTCCATATAACTTTTGGTCTTGGATGACCTGTAACCTTACACTGTAGAATGGCCTTTCCGTTTAATGTTGTGGAGCAAGATTTCAACGGTTGTACAAATTCAGGAGCACCTAGATATTTCATACCATCCAATGTGCATTCTCTTTACAAGCTAAGTTAGATAATTAAACTAATAAAACTTCAAAGAAACTTATGATTGAACTGCAATGGTTAAGAGAAGATTATTTCAATTTTACTTTATAAGGTATTCCGTCATTTTTTTGCTGTAGGCAAATACCGGTTAAATTTGTGAGTTAACTGCAATCAAAGCATGCAAAAAAGCAGCAGAAAAGTGAAAAACCTGAAATGGTGAGCTTTGCTTCTGTCGATACAGAAGTTTCATTCATAGTAGCCACACAACGGTATACACCAGCGTGCTCGGGTTTCGCTTTTTCAATCCTCATTACCTGCACACCATTTTCGAGAACTTCTGTCACAGCTTCATGCGGCAGTTTACCGCCGTCTTTTGTCCAACTAATATTAACTTTTTCAGCCGTGGAATCCAATGTACATTCAAGTTTTACAGGATTACCATTCTGAATCACCACATCATGTAATGGTTTCAAGAATCCTAGCACGTACTCATCAGGCACCACTTCTTCAACAATTTTAGCAAACTCTTCTTTCAGTTGAGTTGCGGTAGACGCTTTTCCTAATTTGTTGACTGCTTCACAGGTATACTGACCAGCATCTTCCGCAGTAGCATGCATTATAGTGAGTTTCAAAACTCCATTTTCCAACCTTTCAACAACCATATTTTCGTCACTAACCAGTGGCTTACCCTCATGATACCAGAAGACTTCTGGTTTTGACTCTTCGTTTACCTGACACATCATAGTGATTGCCTCACCGCTTTCAGCTCTTGTAGTTTGAATTGGCTGTACAAACATCGGCTTTACCTCTTCTTCGGCTGTCTTTTCGAACCTATATTTCGGGAATTTCAATTCCGCCGTAGTCTCTTCTTGCCCGCCTACGTTAATTGCCGTACACGTGTACTCACCCAGATCTTCAATGCTAACATCATTGATTATCAAAAGGTGCTCGCCATGTTCACCGTCTTTCACCAGCGTATGTGAGTTGTCAATATTAACTGGGACACCATTTTTCGACCACTTAACTTCTGGCTCAGGTTTTCCTTCAACAGTGACCTTCAAAACAGCTTTATCAGCTTCTTCAACACTCAGTTCATTAAGTTGTTCTATAAAACGAGGTGCTACAATAGTTTCTTCAACAGCCAGATGAGACTCAACCAAATCAAATCCTGCTTTATTAATTGCCTTGCAGGAATAAACTCCGGCGTCTCCTTTTTCAGCTTGCTTAATGATCAGCTCATATTTTCCGTCTTTTTCTCTTCTGGTTATGATATGTTCGTTATCAACATTAACCGAAACTCCATCTTTGTACCACTCAACATTAGGTGTTGGCTTTCCCTCAACAACCACAGAGAGTGTTGCAGACTCAGACTCCTGTATCGACACGTCGTCCAATTTTTCAATAAAAACGGGTGTCTGAAGTTCTTCTTCAATTGCAAAATTAGCTTCCGTCTTTGAGGAACCAAGCACATTTTTAGCTTCGCAAGAGTACACTCCCGCATCCGCTTTTGTAGAATCCTTAATTGTTAAACTGTAATGTCCTGTAGCGTCTTGTTTTGATATCAAATGTTTGTTATCGATATTTACTGGAACGCCAGATTTCATCCAAGTCACTTCTGGCTGAGGTCTTCCTTCAATAGTAACTTGAAGAACGGCGGTTTCACCTTCTGCTACCGAAAGTTCATTAAGCTCTTCAGTAAAATGAGGCGGTACCAAAACTTCTTCTACAGCAAAGTTAGCCTCTGTCATTACACTTCCAGCTGCGTTAGTGGCTTTACAAGAGTACGTCCCAGCATCTTCTACGGCAGCCTTCTTTATCGTGAGGCTATAATGACCCTTCTCGTCCTCTTTTGCAACAAAGTGCACATTATCTATTTGAACAGGAACACCGGATCTCAACCAAGTTATTTCAGGTTTTGGACTTCCTTCAACAGAAACTTTAAGAACGGCAGTTTCACCTTCTGATATTTTGACCTCTTCCAGTTCTTCTGTAAAGTGCGGCATTGAGACAACCTCTTCAACAGCAAACTTCGCTTCTGTGGTTGCGGTTCCAGCAGCATTTGTAG